CTGTGCCTTTAACATAGTGGAAGAATTCTTTCAAATACCAAGTAAGAATGTGACTAAGTTGGGAACTCTAATTCAGTACAGTTTTCCATTTATAGGTTATTTACCAACACTATTTTGGAGAATTAGATTCTTGGATTGTAAAATAGCAGAACACAATCTCGGTCTATATCTTTATTCAAATATACAAATTTTGAGACAGGAAAGTGATTTATTTGTAATATTATTCTTTTAAATTGAAATAATTATGTATTGTATTGTATTATTTCAACTGTTTTAAAAAATACAGAACATTTTTTGTATAATTTTATTTTTTTCAACTTTGGCAAATAAGGGGAGCAACTCATATAACCTTACTTTTACTACTAAACATTTTTATAAATTACACCACTTTCCGCAAAATATATTTTTGTATAGTTTTAGTATGTTGTTCATAGATAGTAACAGACTTGTTTTTCAGAGAAAAACTTTGTGTTGCAATTAGTTGCAGGTTGTTCACTAAATTGACTAGACTACTGATTATGTCAATTTAAGAGCTGAAATTTCCCATAAACAGAATTGTTCGTCCAAAAAAGATGATTAAACATGTTTACTTACATCAAATATGACTTATTTTCATTGGAATAGGTACAACTTCTAAAAATTGAATTTCTGATGATTCTCTGTACTAATAGGAAGTACACCACTAATTCATGGCCCCATTGCTTTCTACGTTAAATTCCTCAATTTCAAGCAGACACAGCTCTTTTGTTTCAAGTTCAAATAAAGTGACAATCATTGCATGTCAAAGCAACACTTTATGGTGTCTTGTACTGGAAAAATCAACATACATTTAATGGCATATAAGAAAGAACTGGTTCCCGGAACTTCGGATGTACCAAAACAGGTACTTCAGATCTGACATACAGGCAAAAAGTACCCTCTTTATAAAATTTGGTGCAGTTTTTTTAATATTCAAAATTATAAGTCAATAAAATGCTTCGCTGGGCGCAGCTTGATACGACCGCAGAGGTCGAACCCTGAACAGTTGGGGCAAGTATGGACACAACATTCAAGCTTGATACAGCTCTGAATTTGGATTGTGATTAAATATTTGACACAGCATAGGTTTCTGACACAGAAAGAATGTGGTCTAAGAACTTCAATTTTTTTAATTTACCTATTATGGTCCAATGTCCAAAATCAAAATACATGGTTAGATTCAGCATATCAAAGAACCCCATATATTCAATTTTTGTTGAAATCAAACAAAGTTTAATTTTGGACCCCAACTTGGACAAACTTGAAAACTGGGCCCATAATCAAAAATCTAACCACATGTTTAGATTCAGCATATCAAAGAACCCCAAGAATTCAATTTTTGTTAAAATCAAACTAAGTTTAATTTTGGACCCTTTGGACCTTAATGTAGACAAATTTAAAAAACGGGACCCAAAATTAAAAATCTAAAAACACGGTTAGATTTGGCATATCAAAGAACCCCAATTATTCAATTTTTGATGAAATCAAACAAAGTTTAATTTTGGACCCTTTTGACCTCAATATGAACCAATTTGATAGCGGGCCCACAAATAAAAAATCTAAATACATGGTAAGATTCAGCATATCAAAGAACCCCATATATTCAATTTTTGTTGAAATCAAACAAAGTTTAATTTTGGACCCCGATTTGGACCAACTTGAAAACTGGGCCAAAAATCTAAAATCTAAATACATGTTTAGATTCAGCATATCAAAGAACCCCATATATTCAATTTTTGTTGAAATCAAACAAAGTTTAATTTTGGACCCCATCTTGGACCAACTTGAAAACTGGTCCCATAATCAAAAATCTAAACACATGTTTAGATTCAGCATATCAAAGAACCCCAAAAAATCAATTTTTGTTAAAATCAAACTTAGTTTAATTTTGGACCCTTTGGACCTTAATGTAGACCAATTTAAAAAACAGGACCCAAAATTAAAAATCTAAATACACGGTTAGATTTGGCATATCAAAGAACCCCAATAATTCAATTTTTGATGAAATCAAACAAAGTTTCATTTTGGACCCTTTTGACCTCAATATGAACCAATTTGATAGCGGGCCCACAAATAAAAAATCTAAATACATGGTAAGATTCAGCATATCAAAGAACCCCATATATTAAATTTTTGTTGAAATCAAACAAAGTTTAATTTTGGACCCCAATTTGGACCAACTTGAAAACTGGGCCAAAAATCTAAAATCTAAATACATGTTTAGATTCAGCATATCAAAGAACCCCATATATTCAATTTTTGTTGAAATCAAACAAAGTTTAATTTTGGACCCCAACTTGGTCCTTGAAAACTGGGCCCATAATCAAAAATCTAAACACATGATTAGATTCAGCATATCAAAGAACCCCAAGAATTCATTTTTTGTTAAAATCAAACTAAGTTTAATTTTGGACCCTTTGGACCTTAATGTAGATCAATTTAAAAAACGGGACCCAAAATTAAAAATCTAAATACACGGTTAGATTCGGCATATCAAAGAACCCCAATAATTCAATTTTTGATGAAATCAAACAAAGTTAAATTTTGGACCCTTTGGACCTCAATGTGGACCAATTTAAAAACGGGGCCCAAAATCCAAAAACTTAATACACGGTTAGATTCAGCATATTAAAGAACCCCAAGAATTCAAGAATAAAACCCCATTGAAATTGATCAAGAAATAAGAAATTTATACGAAGTATCTTCTTTTGCACAATACTGTGCAATTGAATATTTCTTGCTATTGCGCAATACTGTACAATTGACAATTTCTTGCTATTGTGCAATATTGTGCTATTGGATATTTCTTGCTATTGCGCAATACTGTGCAATTGAAGATTTCTTGCTATTGCGCAATACTGCGCAATTGAAGATTTCTTGCTATTGTGCAATACTGTGCTATTGAAAATTTCTTGCTATTGCACAATACTTATTATATAATAATTTACACATCCTATTTGGTGTGTATCTCCTACCATATCATTATTATTTGCTTTTAAATATAAATCAGAAATAACCAACTTAAAATGGAAAATTTTAAAAGAAAAAAAAAAGAAAAAAAAGAAAAAAAAGGAAAAAAAAAAAATCCCCCCCCCCAAATTTTTTGAACCCCCTTATGATTCATCACCCCCAAACTCAATCCCAGCCTTCCCTTTGTGGTATGGTACCTTGCAGTACAATTTCAGAGAGATCCATACACTTGAACACAAGTTATTGTCTGGAAACTAGAAAAATGCTTATTTTTGGCCCCTTTTTGGCCCCCAATTCCTAAACGTTTCGGGCAATTACCCCCAAACTCAATTCCAGCTTTCCCTTTGTGATATGGAACCTTGTAGTACAATTTCAGAAATATCCAAACACTTACACACAAGTTATTGTCATGAAACTAGAAAAATGCTTGTTTTTTGCCCCTTTTTTGGCCCCTAATTCCTAAAATTTTGAGGCAATTACCCCCAAAATCAATTACAGCCTTCCCTTTGTGATATGGAACCTTGTGGTACAATGTCAGAGAGATCCATACACTTACACACAAGTTATTGTCTGAAAGTTACAAAAATGCTTATTTTTGGCCCCTTTTTGGCCCCTAATTCCTTAACTGTTGGTACCATAACCCCCAAAATCAATCCCAACCTTCCTTTCGTGGTATTGAACCTTATGGTGAAATTTCATGGAGATCCATTCACTTAAACTAAAGTAAGAGTGCGAAAACCAATGTGTCTTCGGACGACGCCGGACGACGACGACGACGACAACGACGCCAACGTCATACCAATATTCGACCAAAAATTTTTTAATTTTTGCGGTCGTATAATTAGTCCCCAGCTGGTGGCCATCTTGGATGATGGATTGGCTTCAAAGTAACAACACTTGGTCAGCACCTCAAAAGGACCATTCATGCCATGTTTGGTTTCATTCCATTCAGTGGTTCTTTAAAAGAAGACATTTGTATGTATTTCCCATATGGTCCTATGTTAAACTAAGTCCCCCGCTGGCAGCCATCTTGGATGATAGATCGGCTTCAAAGTAACAACACTTGGTCAGCACCTCATAAGGAACATTCATGCCATGTTTGGTTTCATTCCATTCAGTGGTTCTCTAAAAGAGCACATTTGTAAATATTTCCCATAGGGTCCTATGTTAAACTAAGTCCATCTTAGATGATGGAACGGCCTCAAAATAACAACACTTGGTCAGCACCTCATAAGGAACATTCATGCCATGTTTGGTTTCATTCCATTCAGTGGTTCTCTAAAAGAGCACATTTGTAAATATTTCCCATAGGGTCCTATGTTAAACTCAGTCCATCTTAGATGATGGATCGGCTTCAAAATAACAACACTTGGTCAGCACCTCATAAGGAACATTCATGCCATGTTTGGTTTCATTCCATTCAGTGGTTCTCTAGAAGAAGTTCAAAATGTAAAAAGTTAACGACGACGACGGACACCTAGTGATGAGAAAAGCTCACTTGGCCCTTCGGGCCAGGTGAGCTAAAAAAAAAGAAAACTACAGACTGAACCTACATGTTGATGAAAGACAACCATTAAATGCAAGTTCCATGTGTCTCACTTTGCGACAAAATGTTGGGGGATGGGGGATAGGGCACTTCTATTATTTTGTAGGGATGAGCAGCTGAGACATCCAGTACCCTACCGTTTTCATATATTTTGAATAACAAAAGTACATACACTATCATATATTTTTTGACAAAAAATACACCTGTAGCTTATTCATGAGTAAGCTTTTTAATTGAGAGATAAATAGATTAGACCTAAGTCACCTAACCAATTTTGTGAAAACTATAAAAATTTATTAGTTTAAATTATTTAGGATTTGTTCAGCAACCTTATGATATATTTCATCTTAATTTCTTGATCTTGTCATATATTTCCAAGCTTAAAAGACTGTCCTACTCCAGCTGCTCATCCATACCACTTATTACATTATAAGTAATGATAGGAGACCAAAACTTAATGTCTTACCTGTAGTCTCCTGTAAATTTTGTTGACTACCAGTACCTCCACCAGTAAATCCACTTCTTTCTATCTGATTAACTCTTTCTGCCAATGAGCTTTGTCTATCCTTCACTGACTGTACATCTCTTCCAAGTTTATCTACTACTTCCTTCTTTGCTGAGTCATCTACTTTTTTCTCTAGGTGAATTATTCTTTCTGTCTTTTCAACAATTTTTAACTGTTCACATATATGTATATATACTTAAATGACAGGAATTGCATATTTGTATGAAATCCTTTATTTTGTGTGTTTCAACAGGTATCAATTGATGATTGAAGTCTTCAATCATGTTTTTGCTGGTTCAACATTTACATACTTTAACACAACACCCTTTCCTGTAAATTATATTCATATTTCTGTGCACAAGATGTATGTATACTTATGTAACACTTGTACAGGTATATCTAGAAACTATATAACCCAAGTTTTTCCTTATACTGTTTATACATACTTGCTTTCAATATTGTTTTATGGGTTTTTGTTATCTCTTTTTTATCTTTATCAAAATATCACTAAATTCCAAACAAGAGGTTTCCTTATATATATGTACTGTACATACCTGTTTCTTTCTTACTTTCATATGGGTAATTCTTACATCTTTTGAATCTTAATCTCAAAATATTACTAAATTAAAAACAGTGTTTTAAGTCAGAATGTGTGATGAAGAGAATGGCAGATTAATAACACCAATAGCTTGGACAGAACATTTACAGACTTTAACATTCATTTTGCTTTTCTCTCTAATAATAAACTTGATAATTTCCAGTAATCACCACCTTTAGTTCTTTCTGTCCAACTTTTATACTCTCCACCAGATCTTTCAACATAGAACTGTCTCTTTGTATACTTTCCATAATATGCTGGAAAGTATCTCTTTCAGCTGATATGTCCTATGAAATCGGATAGATATTACTGATAGTAGTCCAATCATTCTTTGACAATTCTATATATAAAGGTCCCACTTGGGAGCAGATAAATCTTTTCTGAATTGAGGTTCAAAATACATAATTCTTCTACAATGGGTGAAGAAGTGAGTGATTGGGCAAGAGTCACAAGACAGGTATTTGCTTAATAGAGGTGACATTAATAGCTGATTTGACTGTATTTTATACACCATACAACTGAATCTGACTTACATAATGCCTTTATGATGCTACTAATTTTTTATTTCTAATCTGAAAAATTCTGAAGTTTCCCAAAGAAAACATGGACATACATATTTCTACAAAAGTGTTGCAACACCTCCAATTAAAAACCTCTTACTAAGAAGTTGTACTGAACTTTCACAAAATCTACATTATCTATTCTATCATATTTATTTTATCCAAATAGTTTTTAGCAGAACATGGAGTTTGACAAAATCATTATATATTTGTAGAATGGGAAATAGAGAAATATGATTGGGTATTGAAAGATGTTACAAATATATTTTCAAGAAAAATATTTTAGAGCTAGAACTGTATTAGGACAATGTTCATCACCAGAATTAATATTTAAACTTATAATCCTCAAAAAGCCAGTCAACTGGAAGGAAATGCAAACTCAATCAGTAAGTCATCAATAAACACTTATTACAAACAAGAGGCTATCAAGAGCCTGAATCGCTCACCTGTAATTTTTTGCTTAAATCTTTCATCAATGATTGTTTTTGCTTTTCAATATACAATGTATATTAATGAGTGGCTTTAAAATGCCTTTTAAATGTTCTTTGTATCTGTCATATTTTCTTCAAATGCAAAAAAAATGCATTTTACCCCTATGTTCCATTTTAGCCATAGTGGCTATGTTTCTTGACGTACAAGGAATTAAATACACAATTTATACTAGATACTCTGAAACTCATTCAGCCCAAGTTTGGCTGAAATTGATTCAGCAGTTTCAAAGGAGAAGATTTTTTAAAGTAAGCAAACTAGATGAACAAATTGTGTAAAATTGTCTTTAAAGACAATAACTCTTTAAGGGGTCAATTGACTATTTTGGTCATATAAAAACTTATTTGTAGATCTTACTTTGCAGAACATTTTTGCTGTTTACAGTTTATCTTTAATAATATTCAAGATAATAACCGAAAACTGCAAAATTTCCTTAAAATCATCAATTCAGAGCAGGTAGACCTTGACCTCATAAATACTTTAACTTCTTGTCTGATTTGCTCTAAATGTTTTAGTTTTTGAGATACAAGTCAAAAACTGCATTTTACCCTATGTTCTATTTTTAGCCATGGTGGCCATGTTTTCTGAGGAAACAGAAAATAAAATACAAACTTTATTCTAGATAAACTAAGAATCATTCAGATTAAGTTTGGTTTAATTTGGTTCAGTAGTTTCAGAGAAGAAGATTTTTTAAAGCTAGAAAACATGATAAACAAATTGAGTAAAATTGACCTTAAAGGGCAATAACTCCTTAAGGGGTCAATTGACAATTTTGGTCATTAAATTTATTTGTAGATCTTACTTTGCTGAACATTTTTGCTGTTTACAGTTTATCTTTATCTATAATAATATTCAAGATAATAACCAAAAACCAAAATTTCCTTAAAATTACCAATTTAGTGGCAGCAACCCAACAATGGATTGTTAAATTCATCTGAAAATTTCAGGGCTGATAGAACTTGACCTAAAGAACATTTTTAGCCCATGTCAGATTTGCTCTAAATGCTTTAGTTTTTGAGATATAAGCCAAAAACTGCATTTTACACCTATGTTCTATTCTTAGCCATTATGGCCATGTTTTTTGACGAAACAGAAAATAAAACACATACTTTATTCTAGATACCCTAAGGATCATTAAGCTTAAGTTTGGTTGGAATTGGTTCAGTAGTTTGAGAGGAGAAGATGTTTGAAATAGTTTACATCGGACGGACGATGACAAACGCCAAGTGATGGCAAAAGCTCACGTTTCCTCTGGAAAGGTGAGCTATAAAGACTTGTCTTTTTTGTTGTTAGGGATGAGGGATGGATAAATACCCTGCCACGTACAGTCTGTGTTTATGTTTATGTTTGAAGTTTTCTGCTTTGTATCGATCTGATGAGTTAAGCCTTTTTCAACCGATTTTTATAGTTTGTTCTTATGTTGTGCTGTTACACCACTGTCTCAGGTTAGGGGAGGGTTGAGCGCTCCTAAACATGTTAAACCCCTCCACATTCTTTATGTGCCTGTCCAAAGTCAGGCGCCTGTAGTTCAGTGGTTGTCGTTGGTTCATACCTGTCATATTTGTTTTTCATTAATTGTTTTGTTATAAATTAGGCGGTTAGTTTTCTCAATTGAATTGTTTCATATTTTTTGTGTCGAGGCTATTTCTAGCCAACTCTACGGTATGGGTTTTTCTCATTGTTGAAGCCGTACAGTTGCATATAATTGCTTACATTCACTTTATTTGAACTTTGGTGGATAGTTGTCTCAATGGCAATCATACATCATCTCCTTATTTTTATATTGACACATACACTTTTCATAAAATTTTAAGAAGCAGTAATTTAGCCTATACATAGTCGGTAAACTGGAACAGGTACAGATTACAAAGGTGTAGGTTCACGGAGGCTTAAATTTAATGTGTTCTTTTTAATCAGGCTAAAATATTGCAAATTTCTCATAGCAATAATGTAATATAACTACTAATATAAAACAACTTCTTTTTAGCAAATCACATAATAATTACGAAGAAATGACCCATTCACTATGCATTTTCCTGAATCTCCATGGAAACGATACTTGCAAATGCTAATAAATTTGCATACCAAATATCATTGACTTAACATTAGCAGTTCATCTTAAACTGACCTAATCACAAACTTATACATGTTAACTTAGCAAAATTTTCAAAGTCTATAGACCATGACTAAGCAGGCTGAGCCAAATAATCTCCATGGAAATGAGATATGCCAATGCTTATACAACTGCATACCAAATAGCATTGACCTACCACTAGTGGTTCCCCATAAATTGACCTAATCACAAACTAATACATGTAAACTATGAAAAGTTTCAAAGTCAATAGACCATGACTTAGGGGGCAGGGCCAAATAACCTCCATGGTAATGAGATGTGCCAATGCTAATACAACTGCATACCAAATATCACTGACCTACCACTAGTGGTTCACCATGAACTAGACCTAATCACAAACTAATACATTGTTGACGCCACCGCCATTGTCGTTGACGTCGCCAACAGCATACCTATGTCTCGCTTTCTGACTCCGTAAAGGCGAGACAAAAATGATGAGTGATCATAAAAGTTTAAAGAATGAAATTTTCTTCATTAAATCATAAATTATTGCAAATAATTTAATGATGAAACTGCCTGAAAAATTCTGGAAAAGAAATGACATCACTAATGTGACAGAAAATTCCTTTTGTCTTTCTTGTTTTATTTTAAGTTGTTAAAATTACCATGTACCTGAAGTTCTCGCCTCATCTCCATACTCTGTAGATCCATACTAGCTGTATACATTGTTATCATCTGTAAATGTTCATCTGCAGCATCCTTATTGTGTTTTTGCATGTCCCTTTCTGATCCCTGTAGTATATAAAGGAAACAGGTTTTACATTTAGATTATAAACATTTTTCTTCTTTTTTTTATGTTATTACAGTGGATTCAATGCAAATTTTGATGGATTAAGAAAACTTGAATTTTTGTTAATATTTTTTAAATTTGTGGTTTTGCCAAAGTCTGTACACAAGCCTTTAAAAAATGTGTACTTCATTGAACATTTAAATTCGTGGTTTACCTACACCCACAATATCTACAATTTTTTTAATATTCATTTAGAGCCTGATAATGAAATGGCTCCCTCTTTTACTGGTAGTTGCATAAATCTGCAATTAAATGAAAACTTAACCACAGCAACTTTGGGATAAAATGTAGGTGATGGTGAATCAACGATTTTAGAGATTATTAGGAACAAAATTACTAATCAACAAACAAAATGCTATATATGGTATATTTGAAATATTTCAGTCGAAATATTGCTGTATCTGATAAAGGCATTTTTAACATGCATACTTTACCAATACATGTATTTTACCTATTCGAACAATTGTGTAAAGTTTCAAGTTAATTGATCAAAACATACTTATACTAGAGTATAATGTGAAAAATTTACTCAAATCTGACAGTTAAAGTTCAAAAACTCTAGAACGACAAAATGGTGAATTATCAAAAGCAAAAGGAAACTTTCATTTTATCAATCCCATCAACAGCATAAATTTTTGAGTAAATAAATCAATCCAAGCATACTTGAGATAGTGTGCTATATGCAAATAAAATGCTCCGCAAGACACAGCTTGATACGACCGCAGAGATCGAACCATGGACAGTTGGGGCAAGTATGGACACTACATTCAAACTTGATACAGCTCTGAATTTGGATTGTGATTAAATATTTGACACATCATAGGTTTCAGACACAGAATAAATGTGGTCAAAGAACTGAAAATTTTTAAATTGGTATTTTACCTATTATTGTCCAATATCCAAAATCTAAATACACGGTTATTTTCAGCATATCATAGAAACCCCAAAATTTAAATTTTTTATGAAATCAAACAAAGTTTAATTTTGGACCCTTTGGACCTCAGTGTGGACCAATTTGATAACAGGCCCCAAAATAAAAAATCTAAATACAAGGTTAGAGTCAGCATATCAAAGAACCCTATATGTTCAATTTTTGTTGAAATTAAACAAAGTTTAATTCTGGACCCCAATTTGGACAGATTCAGCATATCCAAGTACACCAAGAATTTAAATAATTTATTTATTAATGGACAATATGAGCTAAGTTTTTAAAGGGGTTTGCTTCATAAAAAAAATATATATTTGTAGCATTCTGAAAATTGATTTATACAAAATAACAAACAAATCTACCATGAAGTTCTTCAAAAAGTTTACAAAAAAAAATGAAAAAAAAAACAATTTCCAATATATCATTCCTCATTAATACAGTCCTACATTTATCAACAAGAAATCACATCAAATTGATGATGAATTGAAAATCAGCTTATCAGCCACTTAGAAAACACAAAACTTTCAAATAAATTTGTCACTCCATTTATAAGTGTGTTGGTTAATGAATACCACATGTTTTTCTTGATAATAGGTGGTAATTGCTGCATGCATGAATTAATAGTGAATACACAACACTTATCCATATTCATAAATGTGAATATTTAGTTAATTACAAATGTAAATATGTTATACAAATTGTGTGTACCGGTAGTTTTTAAAGGAAGAAAAATAAAAAATTCAATTTCTTTTAAAATATTAATAATAATAATAATACAGAGGAGGGGCGACAGTCTTAGGTGCTGTGTGCAAATTTGTTTAGGTCACGTGGTACGATTTTAGCGTCCCTCAGCAATTTTGAATCTGGTAAAAGATCGATTTGTTCATGTTTTAATATCAAATACACTCTCTTGCACTCGCAGAAAATATAGAAAGTTTTGAAATAAAAAGATTAATCAATGATAGAAGATCACGTTATATAAAATATTTTCATTATTTTTTTAACCTTTTAAAGTAAATTTGATCAATAAAGAAATGCATTGTAATGGCGGGAATTTATATTCGATCTCTGCGAAATCACGAGGCACAGATTTTTGTTAATTTTACAAATGTCAGAACTTGAAAATTATTCAAATTTATGCCAATTCAAGAACACTATTCGAACATTCTAAATCTTCTTAAGTCTCCAGCCATTGCTTCATAATAAGTCGCTAAAATATGAATTCCAGTAATTAAAATATCAAAAATATTTGTCGAATCCGTAACTACATATGTTATTTTAGGCATACAAACTCATATGTATTTTAATTATTTTGAAAACAAAATGAAAATTTTGTCTTATGAATAACCATGATGAAAAAATAGTTTTTTACATGCGCCTCAGGGTGTATGAATTTTCAACAATGGTGTAAAATTCTGTACTCCCCTGATTACACAAAGATAACTAATATTATTCCCAAGAAATAACTAACAAATTTGTTTATTATGCATGTACAAAGTATATGTATATTGTTTAATCAGCCCTTCTGTATATTACTTGTTTTTTTAATTGATTCAACAAATTTCGTGTGCAAAGTGTCGTCCCTCCTCTAATAATATAATACATGTAATCATAATTCTTTAATTAAAGAGGGTTACACAGTTAGCTTTAAAACTAATTTTCCCTGAGGCCCTCATGAAGTACATTAAAATATAACAAAGAATTACAAAATAATCAAACAAATACGCACATTAGCTAGTGTGTAGGAAATAAATATATCACAAATTTTCCTTCATTCATTTTAATATTTAATTTTCATAATTAGTTAAAAATATTAAAATAAACAAAATTTCAATTAACTTCATTGTTCCTGTCCTTGAGTGGTAATACCAGAAACTGGACACAATCATCTTTACAAACTCAGTTTTTTGTTTTTAAACATCTGTTTGTTAAGGATGTACACCTCTGAGGAGCCAAAAATTTCTAGAATTAAACTTTTTTTCTTAACCTGATTTTTGGGTTTATATGACTGTAAAAAAATAATTGGTGAAGAAAAAGTCTTATGGTGATGCACTACTTTTTTTCGCTACGGCCATTTGAAAGTACCCAATTTTGATGATTTTCCCGTTTTTCATCAATTTTTACCTATTTTTGGGCTATTATCGTGAAAAAAATCACAGTTCCACAATTAAACTTTTTTACATACTTTCAATAAAGATGAAATGGACCAATTTGAATAAATTTAACTAAAAATAAAATGCTTCGCTGGGGCGCAGCTTGATACGACCGCAGAGGTCGAACCCTGAACAGTTGGGGCAAGTATGGACACAAAATTCAAGCTTGATACAGCTATGACTTTGGATTGTCATTAAATATTTGACACAGCATAGGTTTCTGACACAGGATGAATGTGGTGTAAGAACTGGAAAAAATTTAATTTACCTATTATGGTGGAATATCCATAAACTAAATTGTTTGTTAATTTCAATATATCAAAGAATATGTAGAATTCAATGTTTGATGTAATGTAATAAAGTTGAAATATGGACCGTTTTTGTTCAATGTGGACCAATTTGGTAACATGTATAAATAATCAAAAATCTAAATACATGGGAGCCCATTTAAATACATCATAAAGGTATTAAAATAGAAAGTGACATCATAGTCATGGCTAAAAATAAACAAAAATCCTTAATCAGCAACATTTAAAGTAATATCTAAAAATAAAATTCCTTTGTAACCATAAAAGCCCATTTAAATACATCATAAAGATATTAAAATAGAAAATGACATCATAGTCATGGCTAAACATAGCAAAAAACCCTTAATCAGCATCATTTAACAGTAATATCTAAAAATGGAAATTACATCATAAAGGTATTAAAATAGAAAATGACATCATAGTCATGGCTAAAAATAAACAAAAATCCTTAATCAGCAACATTTAAAGTAATATCTAAAAATAAAATTCCTTTGTAACCATAAAAGCCCATTTAAATACATCATAACAGATATTAAAATAGAAAATGACATCATAGTCATGGCTAAACATAGCAAAAACCTTAATCAGCATCATTTAACAGTAATATCTAAAAATATAAATTTCTTTGCAACCATAAAAGTAAAATAGAAAATGACATCATAATCATAGCTAAAAATAAACAAAAATTTTTTTTATTGGCAAATTTTAAATGGAGTTTATTATACTAAAACAATAAATTTGCAACCATAAACATGATAAAACCCCATTTAAACACATCATAAAAGTATTAAATAATTCAACTACATCATAAGGCTATAAAAATAGAAAATGACTTCATAGTCAAGGCTAAAGGTAAACAAAAAACCTTCATCAGCAAAATTTTATATTGGCAAATTTCCAATGAAGTTTATTACACTAAAATTGTTGGCAAATTTCCAATGCATTTATTAACAATAAAGTTATTGGCAAATTTCCAATTTACATAATTTAAAAGCAGTGTAGATGAGATATTTAAATGAGTTTGAATTACCAACCTTACACTGCTTTTAAATAATGTTCTTTACTCAATTATTTGTCTATTAAAATGGAAACCCTTGTTTTTTAACCTTTTTTCCCCTTATTCCTTAAACATTAGAGCCATAACCACCACCACCCACCCCCCCCCCCCCCCCAAAGCCAATTATTACTTTCCAATGTAACCTAAATTTCCAATATACATAATTTTAAATTTCAGTTCCTCATGATATATAACCGTATCATTATTATTTTCTTTCATATATAAATCTGAAAAAACCATCTTTAAATGGAAAATTTTAAAGAAAAAAAAAGGAAAAAAAAAAAATCCTACCCCCACACATTTTTTCAACCCCCTTTTGATTCATCATCCCCCACCTCAATCACAACCTTCAATTTGTGGTATGGTACATTGCAATACAATTTCACAGAGATCCATACACTTGAACACAAGTTTTTGTTGCAAACTAAAAAAATCCTTATTTTCGACCAATATTTGGCCCCTTATTCATAAATGTTTGAGCAATTAACCCCAAAAC